CTCCCTATAAAGTCTACAAAATAAGAGCTCAAATATATTCGACAAAAAAGGGAAACAGCCATTTGTGTATCAGAATACTGTTCTCAGCACTATATCCTGTGACTACACATAACCCCATACTTTCAGCTTCTTTCAGAACCACCTCCATTTGTCAGTTGTTTATCCACTCATACCTTGTTTACACTTATTTTCCCTAACATATTAGAGTGCTCTTGTTTAATAAATACCTTAATAAATAAGAATTAGACTGAGCAGACACAACTTAACTATTCCTTTATGAACATTTTCTGCTCTACTTTTTGTCCTTTTTTTCTTGCACTCTTTTTCAGCCCCATTGCGATATGCCACCGTAAACCGATATGGAACGAGGGAATTCGTCCTGAACCATCATCAAAGTCTCAGATATTCCAGAACGATACAAGGCTGCGGTTCCTGGAAGCCATTAACTTTTCATGGACCTATTCTCGACCACCAGTTGTATGCTAGTGGACGGCTTGTGCTCCTATATTAGGGGTGACGGGCGTAAGTCATACACATCAAATTTACGAATTCGTCGGAAATCTAAACAAGTTCTTCGGAACCTTTTTAAGTCACACATTGTTTGAGGCCAGGCCCTGAGTGCTAGTGTTTCGCCCTCATGGAGCATTTGGGTTTAATTCGTGCAGAAACTCGGGACAGTAAGCATTCCTCGAAGTATTAGAAATGAGAACAGAGAGAACTTTGGGACGATTGAGTTACATTTGTTTCGTGATGCATCCGAAATAGATCACAATGAAGTGGTCTACTCGTGAAACATCCTCAAGCAGAAACCTTCGGACAGTGTTTCGCTCTATAGTAAGGCTAGGGTTGCGCTTATAAAACCTTCAGCTGTCCCTAGATTGGTATTAACAGCCGGAATAGGTGGGTTTTTGAGTAGAAATCTTCCTCACATATTTGATAAGACTCACTTCCAGATGGGTTCTATGGTAGTCCTGTAGTATGTGTGAAATACAGAGAGCAGGTATTGCACATTTGTGGTCAATAATCTGGACGCTATCTGCCAATTAACGTCCGTGAGCCAGTGAGAACGTATTGGATACATTGAAAATCCTACAGACTGTACTCCACGAGTTTAAAGGAAAGAATAAGATTTAAAAACATGAACTGAAGGTCCTTCTTAAGGGATGGAGAGTTTGAAAAAGTACTGAGGCTTATCTGGAAAACGTCTCCTGAAAATGTCGAATTTAAGAGAGTTCACATAATCAACACATGCACAGTAAAACATAACTTTAGTCAGGTTCTGTTTTACCACTAGAATTGGATAAAACCGATTGAAGCGGTAGCATGGCTAATGAGATATGTGATCTATATACCCATCAAGTGCTCCCACAACTAAGGCAAGCCCTTAAGTGTAGGTTGTCTGATGTTTGATGAACCAGACGTGGCCAAACGTAATGTACTAGTCTTAATGCAAAAGAAAACGTACAGAGAAGCTGTGAAAACCTTATCTTCTGGATAGATTCTAATAACAGCAAGCTGTACGTTAGTTTTATGGGTGTACAGGCGTACTGTTTTAAGTTCTGTGCGTCCGAACGACGCAGAGTAGTTAACTGGGAGAGCCATGACTGAGTGTATTCACAGGTGTCTCTACGTAGCTGAAAGGAGTTTGTTGGCCATTGTAGCGGGATAAAACGCTGAAAATCACTCTGTAATATTTTATTTAACAGTACTGTCATTTGTTTGTTTCTTCTCCTTGTCTTGAATTTGAACCTTCTTTCGCGGCTCTTGTTGACCACGCTTTTTATCGATGAACATGACTTTCTATATCTTGTTTTATTCGGAACATTCGAAATTGACTGATTTTGAGATCATATAGGCACGTGTCATGACTATTGGCTGTGTTGCCCGATTACTCATCTGTATTTGTTTGTTCATATAATCATGCTAACTGATGAATTAATGAGACATGATATAGTGGTTTACGTTTAGATCAATGTGAAACCACTGGTTTCATTGTCCAAACTACATTCATGTTTAGTAGTATGGGATATTTTCTCGATGTCCGCTTTTAGTATCTGTATCAAAATGTTTCGAATCCCCTAGAAATATTTCAGCTACGTGAAGTCTTTTTTGCTAAACAATCCATTAGCTTTTTTACCTGGCTCATCTTAACTTCGTAGACATTTTATGGTGCTCTTTGATACAGGTTTAACCAACAAAAGTACTCACTCAAAATTAATTTACGTGAATGAGAATGAAAAGAATAAACTACCCAAACCATGTACAATCAGACTTTTTCTCATGTTGACCTCAATATGTGACTTTCGGCCTTTTGTAGGCCCACTTCTGGCGTAGGGGTACAATACGATTATGTAGAAAAGCGTGAGCAAGTAACTTTTGAGGAGAGAGAAACAACTGGGTCATTTGGTCGACAGTTACGCATGGAAAACAGGTGCACTTACGTTTAAGTATGAAGGTTGTTATCAACAATCAGCAATGACACGGGTTTAAGATCAATATATCATGGTACTGATAGAGCAAGGTTTTCGTTGCATGAGATATCAATTGTATGATTCACATCGAGCATTATTGACCCTGGTTAACCTCAAAAAATCTTTCGAAATTCACCGATTATCCATGGCATCAGGATCATTTTTAGAGTGAGGATGTAAAGAGCCACACTATTTCTTGCTTTAGCTCTTTAGTCATGACGAAACAAGGATACGCTCGATATGGTCAGTTCCTAGCCAGTAAACTAAGACGATGTTCATGTTTCGTTTGTCCGTAAAATTAGTACTAATCCTGTCGTTATTTTACGTAATTCACCCATCTTTTCAGATGGACTAGATTTATCAAGCATGGTCAAATGACTACCATTCAATAAACTTTGCAACGGACTTCTTGTTGCATGTAATTTTTTGATAAAGATGTAGTGTTGAAACTCCTTACAGTTGTCCTTTCATATCAGATGTAGATTTACAGGGCATGTTGCTCCATTTCGTTGAGTTGTTCTGTTCCGGTTTGCGTTGGTCTTGATTGAAGTTAAACAATACCTGAACGTTCCCATATTATTAATCAGTGAGAACAAATTGTGAACTTTCTGTGACATATTATTCGTTGAACGGATGTATCCTATGGTTATTAGAAATAAACCTTGAACTCCTTGTGAAATCATTGGTTTTCCCCACTCTTACCAGTTTGAAGAATAGGTTTCAGAAACATGTTACGAGGTGCAAGAATTTTTTTCCATGTATCAACCACATAAGGTCTTTAAGTTACTAAGCCAAAAATCGACCTATAAATAGAGTTTAGGTTGAGCAGCTTCCGTTCTCTTACTATTTTTTATCTCTTAATTCACCATTTCCCACTGGTCCCAGGTTCCACCGTCAAAAAAATGATTGGGTGCATATGAATGCAAATAAATATCCGACACTTATACGTCAGGAATACCTAAGTGGTGGGAGCCTCTACTTATGATAAAGAGAGGGTTGACTTAATTCACTGATGTCTAGGAACCGGATTATTCCTTGAAAAGTTGAATCACTTCACGAACCTCAATATCTGTGAGATCGGAAAAACATTTTAGGAACTCCGAAATCTAAGAGTCACAAAGGATGTCTTCTGGATCAGTCAACTGCAGAGTCCCTCGAATAACACCCCTTTCAAAGCAACACTTCTTGAGATCCTTAGTTAAGAGGCATTGGAAGTAAGAGGCATTCAGCAGTACGGACCCATCGCTCACAGATTTAAGGAAACTATTCACAGAAACACATACTCCATTGGTTTAACCTCAGGAATTACTACACAAAGTTTCTTTTAATCAGAATGTAAGGTTTGGTTAATGTAAGCGAATCAATAAAACCTTATAGGTCTGATCTTCGGAAAATTGAGTGCTATCCGGCTGAAAGTGGAGTTCTTCGGAATGTTGCAGGATGAAATCTTGTGATCCGTGCAATTGCTCTGCCCCGTAAATAATCCTACTAGCGTTGTGTCATCATTGGTTGTGTCATATGCTCCTAACACAAGACAAAAACTGTCCGGAGCTTCATGGAAGAGTTCAGAAGTCTGTAAAGCGGTCTAGAATTCGGCGATTGGTATTGAGTTCTTTCAAGTGCATTATGATGGACATTGACCATCAAGGTAGAGATACATACACAGTCAGCAATACTGATCTACTCATTGTTCAGAAAACTAGTAACCTGTTAGTCATTATCAGTCAGGGGTTAGAAACCACAGAATTATCGTATGATGGCTGAAAAAGTTTTCAAATACATTCGAACGTCAAGTATCTACAAATCATCAGGATTTTAAAGAAAGTTTAAAGAATTTTAACTAAATTGATTTTTGGAATATTTGAGTTTCCTTATGATGGGAGTCGAGGTAAACTAAATATATTCCCGAAAGTCAAATAGAAGGGACAGAGTTAACCCGACAATGCTTTTCAAACTGCCTAATAATAGGTTTACATCTGACAGACTTCTCTTTTTCGTATTTCCCGGAACAGAAAACTCGTGAAGAAACATCAAAATGTCCACAACGTCAAAATCAGTCACTTATAAATTGGCTACTGACTTTCCCAGCAAATCACTAACCATTGGGATACAAGTGGTTAAGGCTATCTGTTGATGGATTAAAAGGGCGAATCACATTGAGGATCCAAATCAAGAGGAGGAAAACAAGCTATCTAGCCATCCATCAATATTGATCCACAGACGGATTTGAAAGTCGTAGAAAACAGTCAATAATTCCCTTTTCATTGAAGAGTCGCATTTCAAAGAGCAAATACAGACCAAATTTTTCTAGTTGGAAGTTTCTCATATCTAACGCTGTCACCAAGTAGCATTCTTGTAAGTAATATGGAAGCCGATTGTTCTAGGAAATCACATTACACAGGGATAAAACTCATTTACTCAAAATGTCTGAAAATGCAAATTCACAAAAACAATTCACTTTTGAAAGCTGTTGCAATCAGGTGGCTATATCATCAAGAAGACCAAAAGCTGTACCTAAAAAGTTGGAAACAAAGATCAAAAAACTATCTGGATTACAATAGATCATATTAAAAAGATCAGATATTAGACATTGGAGATTTGTCTCGCGTGTAGCGGTTGTTACAGAATGTAGATGTACTCCGTCATTCGTATTCGTTATGTTGTCTCCTGACGTCTGGTATGTTTCATAGGTGGTTATGGCGAATAGTTATGTTTATTGTTCTGATTAATAACTCACACCAGGAAAGACACTTCGGCAATCATTCCTGGCTTATCAGTTCTTTAGGTGGTGGCTAGATGAGTTTGTGATGTTAGGCAACTCGACAAAGAAACACTTCTGAGATCGTCTTTTAGTTCAGTTAAAAATAGTGCTCGACGTCTTTTTGTCTTCCTACCAGCTCTATACTATCTACTTGTAATTATCCGAATCAAAAGCTACATACCACTTTAAGCTGTCATTTTTTGGAAGTACTATTTCTTCACGTTTTTTATTCGTACAGTTTTCTTTCCGTCTTACTCATCAAGTGTTATTCTGTGTGCCGTTGGTTAAAGTTGATCTTTTTTGCAGGGGGGTTTGACTTTTCGTCTTTCTACTGAAGGGTTTTCTCTTTCGTTTTTTGGTTGGTTTTACATATAGGTTCTCATATTTTTAGCGTTAAAGATCCTTCCATAGTAATTGTTGTAGGATAACATGAAACTTACAGGTATGGGATGCAATGCGATAACTTCAATAGGTGGTTCTACAAATTACGTATTAGATAAATTCATGCTACCTGCAAACTGTTATAGGCCACTATTTTGATAGCTGTCCAAAATACGTTGCTCCACAAAATTTATTTAAAATGCTATCAAAATAATGGCTTCTTGATCATAAGGTAAGGTCTCCAGAGGGCCTCTTGTTTATCTGCTGTAAGCTTCAAGGCCTGATAACATCCTTTATAATGGGTTCGTCTCTTTTTAACAATAGGCGGCGGACCTGCATCTTGAGACAACTTTGTTGCGCTTCTTCCCCTCATGACATGTGATTTTGCGAGAGGACCCTGGAAACTTTAATATCAATTGCCAGTTCAAGACATCTAATCCTAGTTAGCTTATCATTTCTAACAGTAAAATGACTAACCTCTGTATGTATCTATAGTTTTCAATAGTTTAAGTCGGGTGAACATTAACGGTCAGTCATAAGGTAGATCGTGGCACAAATTCAACGAAAATATAGGAGTTAAAGTAATGGTCACACTATTGATGATGAGAAAGACTAAACATTGGGGAATGCGGTTTGAAATAAAAAAGTGATTTTAAGTAGCAAAATAATATTGAAGCCCAGAAAAACTAAGGGAAAACTAAAAGCGAATAGATTTTCACTGCTATGACCAATTTTAAGCTATGTTACCTAACATCCGCAACCACTGATTGCAGTCATTGCATGGACTCCAACTGGCTTATTGGTGTCCACCAAACAACTCAGTTCAACAATCAGTGTCATTAACAGTCAACTTGCAACCACTGGATCGCGTGTCAGTTTGAACAGACATGTACTGTTGTCAACTCATACAAAACATGCTACTCTAAGTGTACATAAACCTGTACTTCGTTATCAAGTTACCTTACAAATTTAGTTAGAAGTCGCCTTTAAAAATTAATTCAGGTTCTTCGATGAGAACTTTAAACTATGGATTACTCCATGGTTAGTTTTATATTGAATACATAAACGATCGTAAACTTACAGTGTGTATTGAATTTAATAATTGTCACAAAGGTGAACTAACTCATCAGTAATTAATACGTCTGTTAACGAATAACAAGTATTGTATAGTTATGCGTTCTATCATTCTTGTTGCATAGTTATGACAGTTTATTTCTCATTAAACGATATGAATATTTTATTTTGTGTTTGTGTTTACTGGAACTTATTAGATTCCTTATCTTTCTGATTTTCAATAATTTTAGCCCGTAATTTTCAGAACAGTAAAGTTTAACAATGACCAAGTCAGATGCTTTAGAATTTGCGAAACAGATAGCTTGTAACTCAGCTATTTCTGATTGGCTTAAAGTAGTTTACATTAACTTTCTTAAAAACTTTTATCTATCAATATTTTGTTATTAGGATAATCAGATTATTGGGCTTGGAAGTGGCACAACAATCAAATACGCTGTTGAGTACATTGGTAATTTTGATCAAATATCAATTAATCTGAAATTGCTCTATTTTTTAGCTGATAAAGTGAAAAAAGAAAACCTACAGATTCAGTGTATACCAACTTCATTTCAGGTATGCCATTAATACATGGGATTTACATGTTTGTATCTTAATAATTTTCTGGTTCTATTTCGGTCTCGGTAAGTTGTTAACTAATGTATGGTCGTTCGGAATTTGTTCGATTCGATATTATATAGTAACATATTAAAAACCAAGGCAAGGAATAGTTGAACCTCCAGTCTATGAAAAATACTGAAAACGTAAATCATGTTTTTAAATTCTTAGGGATCGAAATCAGATTACTGAGGTGCAGACACATCCAGCTAACATGTCTCAAATGAGATGAGGTGCGCGTCCTAGATTTTACTGTTATCTGCAATCCATTCATTCTAAATAAGATTCATAAGGTTTATGTTTTTCAAAGCATATGATTATATGATAAAATTATTCATTATCATATTTGAAAAATCAGTTGTCTTTTACAGGCCAGACAACTTCTGATCAACCATAAATTGCCAGTGACAGACCTTGATGTATGTGAACAGGTAAAATATCTTGTTTCATTTATATCTAGCTTCTTTATTCAAAAAATTAGATTGATGTAACTTTCGACGGGGCAGATGAAGTAGATGAACATCTTCATTTAATCAAAGGCGGCGGTGGCTGTTTACTCCAGGAAAAAATTGTCGCTTCTTGTACTAAAGATTTTATAGCTATTGTCGATGAACGGCAAGTTTACCTACTTAACAATATATATGCTCTAACTTAAATTATATATATATATATATATATATATATATATATATATATATATATATATATATATATATATATATATATATATATATATATATATATATATATATATATATATAGGGAACACAAGACAACTTTACAGACTAATAAAAGAAACTGGAATTAATAAGTCAAGTGTAAGTGAGATTATATCGGAAAAAGACGATACTCTCATCTATTCCCAGTCCAGACGTTTAGAACGATGGGCGGAACACTTTAGGGAACAGTTCAGCTGGCCTTCAGCGACTCTACAACTACCCTCCATTCCCAGACAGCGTGAATGGAACATTGAAGTAGGTCCCCCAACTCTTGCTGAAGTTCAAAAGGCTATAGATAATCTGAAACGAGGAAGGGCAGCTGGACCAGATGGACTGGTTCCAGAAGTCTTCAAAGATGGTGGTCCAATTTTAGCGATTAGGATGACTAATATTTTAGCTAAGATCTGGGAGTTAGACGTTATTCCATCTGACTGGTCACAATCACTTATCGTCCCAATATATAAGAAAGGGTCAAAATCATCCTGTGACAACCACAGAGGGATTAGTTTAACTAATATAATATCTAAAATACTAGCCTCGATAATTATCAGACGCCTAACTAAGACTCGTGAACCGCAAACACGAGAAAACCAATCTGGCTTCAGACCTGGTCGTGGCTGCATCGACCACATATTCACCATTCGTCAGGTTCTAGAACACAGGCACACTTATCGGCGTCCGACGATGGTGGTCTTTCTTGACTTAAAAGCAGCATTTGACTCGGTAGACCGCGAGGTTCTGTGGCAGTGTGTCATTGAAAGGCGTACCTCAGAAGTACATAAACCTTGTGAAGGCTCTTTACTCGAACACTACTAGTCGAGTGAGAGCTTATGGCGAACTGTCATCTACTTTTGCAACCTCAAGCGGTGTCCGTCAAGGATGTCCACTTTCCCCAGTTTTGTTTAACTTCATCATAGACCTACTGATGGAAATAACTTTCTCGTCGACTGAGTTCTCGGGTATTGATCTCCTCCCAGGAGGTCCACTTATCGACTTAGAATACGCAGATGACATAGTCCTGTTTGGTGAAGACGCTGACAAAATGCAGAGTCTTTTGGTAGCACTGAGCAACAATGCCAGAATGTTTGGAATGCGCTTCTCTCCCTCGAAATGCAAGTTGTTGCTTCAGGACTGGTCTGCGTTAACACCTGAACTAAGGATAGGGAGTGAAGTAGTCGAACGCGTTGACAACTTCACTTATCTTGGAAGTCTGATCAGCCCTAATGGGTTGGTATCGGACGAAATCTCAGCACGGATTCGAGAAGCTCGTTTGGCTTTCGCCAACTTACGTCACCTGTGGCGAAGGCGAGATATCCGTCTATCAATAAAAGGACGAGTATACTGCGCGGCAGTCCGTTCTGTTTTACTTTACGGTAGCGAAACATGGCCATTAAGAGTAGAAGACACTCGCAGGCTGCTAGTATTTGACCACAGATGCCTTAGAAATATTGCTGGCGTCTGCTGGGATAATCGGGTAAGTAATAGTGAGGTTAGACGCAGGGTATTAGGAAAGGATGGTAAATCAGTTGATGAGGTTATGAATCTTCATCGACTGAGATGGTTGGGCCACGTGTTACGTATGCCTGAACACCGATTACCACGACGTGCAATGCTATCCGGTGTTGGGGATGGTTGGAAGAAAGTTAGGGGCGGCCAAACCAAAACGTGGCATCAGTGCTTGAAGTCACTAACTTCTAGTCTGAGCCATGTTGGTAGATGCAGACTACTTGGTTGGGGTCCGCGTGACTATCGTAACCAATGGTTGGAGACTCTTGGTGACATGGCTCAGAATCGATCACAGTGGCGTCGGTGTATACACTCCCTGTCTTCCCTTAAACTAAGAGATTAAAATCGCTTCATATCTTTCTTTCTACTAACCAATTCTTTCTTCTGGTACTATATCTCTATATGCAATCTTTCTCTTATATATTACCACCTTTTACCTAACCACTGTTATGAATCCGGTGTTCATCTTGTTGTGCTGATGCGGTATGGCAACCTGGACCGATGCACATAAGTGCATGGTTCTACGTTGTAGCTGACTGACTGACTGACGGATATATATATATATATATATGCTAGGGCGTCCCATACTAGAACGCCCCCAAATGCCCTGGTACGGCCGAGAGTGGGGAGAGTCCGCTCTCCCTCTCGAAATACTCTCACACGGCCACGCGTATATAGCCTCTGCCAGGGAAGTCCTACTCACTGCCTTCTCGTGGCGGGGGTGTTGTTTACGAAAATGAGAGGACGAAAAGCGAATGTCCGGCGCTTTAACCGGATTCCAAACTAATGGTGCACATGGGCTCCAGTATCCTGCGGGAACAAATGGCGAATGAATCAATTGTTGGTCACCGGCTTCCATGGGACTGCATCTCCTTACGATGCTCCACTGCCTTGTGGATCAGACCTTCAGGTCGAAGGCTCGGGGTGTGGCCCCCTAAGAAAACCACCTGCTTCAGTTTGGGCACCCGGGCAGTATCACAGCCCTCACACACATATCGAATGAGATTTGTGTGGCGCATATGTATTTGGTGCCTCTTTGTACCATTATCTATGTGTTGAAATAATAATAATACTAGAACGTGGTAGTTGTCTACTGCTTCGTGATTTCCGATAGTTGTCCAGATAAGTTTAGTTGTAGTTGTGGAGATTTTTGAATTCTATAGAGGTCACGAACCGACGTAAGTTAGACAACCATTAAAAACCTAGAGGCGCTGAATGACCGTCCGGTCCTAATGCCTACTCACAACCCTGGGGTTGGGGATCGAACCCAGCATCAGTATCTCACGTGGACGCTTAACCTCTGGACAACTGGGCTGGGATCCAATGGTATACAAGTTCTTAACCTAAACCATAATATTCTTAAATATTTGACCAGACCTTGTCGATATTAAGCTTGTGGAAATTCAGTCTATAATGTTTATTTTCAGGCAATTAATATTTCAGAGGGATATAAATAACAATAATTTCTTTTTTTATATATTACAACTTTTGTGGATAATGTAGGAAACACTCAAAGAAACTAGGCTCATATTGGACTAAAGGCTTACCAATCGAGGTAGTTCCAATGGCTTTCAAACCGGTACAAACAAGAATACAGAAATTATTTGGTGGACAAGCGATTCTACGAGAAGCCGTTTCAAAGATGGTAGGTGTTTGTTTCTTTGGCCAGGTAGTCAAGTTACTCACCATCGGTGCTGATTTAGTTGGCTCCTTTAGGTTTTCAAAAGACAAGGTTTCTTTGTTTTTTTGCTCGGTTTTGCAACAATAACAATTAAGTATAGTAATCAAAGTTTATAACGTAACAAGTCAATCTTCAACTATCGTGTAATAGTAGTTACCATCAACATCAAATGATCAACCCACCGTATTATAAGTTGGTTGAAACTCAAATTGTATCATGGGACAACGGTTCAGTGGTCCTAATGGTTAAGTATTTACTTGCAACCCTGGAGGTCCTAGGTTCAACCCCTAGTGGAGTCGTGAGTGTTGAAGAGTCCCATGTTGAGATGAAGAAGCTGTCTAGCAGTTCCTATTAAGTGATGCCGCGATTAGGATCAGTCTGTGGTGAATTAAACCAATCTCCGTAAAAGCTTTTCAACCCGAACTATTTTAGAACTATTCTATGTTGGGCTTAGTTTTCATTACAGACTGATATTAGTTAAAAGAATACTGGAACTTTAAGAATTTATGAATAGCTGCTTATCCTAGGTTCCGGATTCGTTAAAAATACCATAAACCTGACACTGGGCTATCAAATGTGTTAATGGCTATAAAATCTTAGACCACTAAGTTTGAATCCATTGTGTTAAGACAGGAAAAATAAGTTTCAATTCAGTGTGGCATTTATTCAGGATAAAACTCAGTATTCCCTTTATTAATTTCAAGCATAACATTCTAATTATCTTTCATTATGTATAACAGTAAAATCCATTTATAAATGAGTATATCACTATTTCTCATTTGGACTTCGAAAAAGTTCTTTTTGAAGTTAGTCGTTAGTATAGGCACCTGATTATTATTGATCATTATATATATATATATATATATATAGAATAGAACAATGGAGAAAGGTGGTTGTATGCCCTCACTCTGCCTGAGGTGTTTGTATATAGGGCTTTTAGGATGTTAATAAACTTCTCAGGCACATCCTTCTTCAATAGACAATCCCAGAGAACAGTCCTATCCAACGAATCGAAGGCAGCCCTGATGTCAAGAAACACTACGATTGTTGGCCTTTGATAAGTATGGCGATGTTCTAACATTTGGCGGAGGGTGAAGATATGATCAATACAACCTCGACCAGAACGAAACCAGTCTGCTCCTCACGAGTCAATCTTTCTCGGGTTTTGAACAACCTACGTATTATGACGGAAGCCAATAGCTTGGACGCAATTGGAAGTAGACTTATCCCCCGATAGTTGTTGCAGGAACGACGTGAACCCTTTTTAAAGATAGGGACAACTATCGACTCATTCCATGACGTTGGTACACTCTCTAATTCCTAAACCTTTGTAAACAACGTCGTCAATTCCTTAGTCAAAAAGTCACCACTATCTTTAAAAAGAGCCGGAGGTAAGTCATCTGGGCCAGGTGATTTGTAACGCTTCAAGAGTTGGAGTCCCTTGCGGACTTCCGCCTCATTTGGTGGATCAGTCGTCACCGGCCATGGATGGCAAGACAGTCTGACCGATGTTGCCCGAGTAACAGGCCAGTTGAACTGTCCTTCGAAAAATTCTGCCTATCGTCCAAGACGTCGATGGATGTTAGTGATTGGCACCCCGTCATCCTCACAGATTGTTTCGCTCACACCAGACTTCTTGCTGCCAGTGGCTCGGATGAGCTGGAAGAGCTTCCGGTAGCTACCAGATGCAGCTGCGCCTTCCAGCTCATTAGCACGCTCCGACCACCAGGCTTCTCGGTCCTTACGCAAGCTTTGCCCAATTTCCTTACGTAACATCCTTCGTTTATGGTCAAACTCACGGTCACCCGGAGTAGACCGACGAGCTTCGATGAGTTGTAAGAAACCAGAAGAAACCCAGTGCTTATAAGCGGGACGTTTCGCAAACCCACAACTGACTGTTTCCGCCATTTTCATGGCGTCAAGCAAATGCAACCAATGCTCATCTATACTTTTCGGTGGAGTGGTAGCTAGCCTAGAGGCTAACTCGGTTCGATACTTATTTGCAACAGAAGTTGCAACCAGCTTGCTAACATCAATCCGTTGGTGGCGGTCACTTCGTTGGCCACTGAAAAGTAAGGCAAGATTGGCGCAGACCAAGGCATGGTCAGAGTCCAGATAGGTACTCCAAAAGGAGCAGCAGTCTTGTACACAACCACGCCAGCGGAAGCTGATCGCGATGTGATCAATCTGAGTCCAGGCTTGGGATGCAGAGGGAGGACGCCAGGTGGCACATCGGCGATGACTGTGCCGAAAGTTAGTGCTAGCCAGAAACAGGTTGTGGTCTGTGCATAGTTGCAGTAGACGGTCCCCGTTATCTGACCTGCGACCAACGAGTCCTCATCGGCCACCTAAACGACTCTCTTCTGGGCCTAGACGCCCGACCTAAGCATTCAAGTCTCCGGCTAGTACTACAATATCTGTCGAATGCACTTTCTGGAGAAGAACAGATAACTGGTGGTAAAACATCCTTGATTGCATCCGGGCTGCAATCCGTCGGAGCATAGGTGGAGATGACAAACAGTCATCATTTCTCACGCCTATGTCTTCTCACTTTGATGGAACTCTCTAATCTAACAGCACATAACCGACTGTATGGGGATCCAGTCGATTAGTGCTGCCTCAGCTCTAGCGCTTAGTGCGACACCAACACCAGCAAGACCAGACGAAGATGCCACAGGGTCCCCGGATAAGCGAATTAGATAGGAGAATTAGTATCCATGATCATAAACAGTTCAGTTCATTAGTCGTGTGTGGGCTGTGATACTGCCCGGGTGCCCAAACCGAACCAGGTGGTTATCTTAGGGGGCCACTCTCCGAGCCTTTGACCTAAAGGTCTAACCCACAAGGCAATGGAGCATTCCCATGGTAGCCGGTGATCAACGATTGGTTCATACGCCATTTGTTCCCGCAGGATACTGGAGCCCATGTGCACCACTGATTTGGAATCCGGTTAAAGCGCCGGACATTCGCTTTTCGTCCTCTCATTTTCGTAAACAACACCCACACCACGAGAAGGCAATGAGTAGGACTTCCCTGGCAGAGGCTGTATATATATATGATTTACAATAATGATATAATACTCATCGAGTGGATACGTTGCGTAACAATTAAATAATGACATTTAAATTAACATTGAGTAATTGGAAGAAAGGATTACCAATATTCAAAGTAATCATTAAATCAAGAAGTTGCTACGTTGCGTAAATAATGAAAAAGAGGGAAGGAACAGAATTTTTTAGTGGATGGTAAATAAAATAGTAGTTACGTAAGAATCAAGAGATGAATGTTGAGAAATTATAAAGCTTAAAAAAAATTACAAAGGTTAAAAAAACCAAATGGAAGAAGTATGAAAAACAGTTCTATTGAGGTGAATCTTATACCGATGGCCAAGGCAGCGAAAGTGGTTGTACAAATCTCTTTTGAATGCAAAAGTTAGGTTTGTGAACATGGATTGCGATGGCTTCCGCGATGTGCAAAATTGATGGCAAATTTGATGAGATATGGTAAATAACCTTAAACGCTTTATTCAATTCAACTTGATGACCTGTGTCAACCAAGCGAGAGAGAGAGAATAGAACTTTTAATCACTTTTGCCTGTCCACGATGGATGATACTCTGTAATACAATGACGAACTGGCTCCACAGGAGAAATTGAACCGATAGATACACATGGCTTTGGCGAATTCAGGCAGTCTGTCTTTATTGGTAATTCTTATTTTGGGGTGGCTGTATAAGATAGCATTTAATCTGGCTGCATTAAATGTTTTTTGTACAGCTCTTTTTAGTTTCTGAGTTACGATTTCTTCAGTGGTGTCATTTATGAATTGTAATTTTATGAACAGTACTTTCTGTGGACGTTAGGTATCGGAACTTACTTAGTATGAATGGGTACCCTATGAAATTCATCGACAAGCACATGATGATGAAGAAAACAAGGGTAAATGATTAATCGTTTTACCTAGCTATTTTAATGAAATTTATTGTTGTATGCACATATTTAAATTTATTTTGTATTGTTATATTCTCCTTTCATTATATTAATTATGACAGGGTCCAGTTGTAACAGATAATGGAAACTTTTTATTAGATTGGAAATTTGACACAAATAAACAATATTATTGGCCAGATATAAATGTTCAACTGTCACAAATACCTGGTAAAATTTGTTTTATAATTTAATTTTTACTTAGTTTATTATTTTAGTAAAGTGAGCTGTTCATTCCATTATCATATATTTTTTATTATATAAGTTGATTCTGGTCGATTGGCTTTAACTCGCACTTTATATGTGAGGGATGTGTTGCTAGCCAGCTGTAGAAACTACAGTATTAAGTGAGATGGGACTCGAAATGTGTGATAGGATGTCGAAAGAAATATTGGCTAAATTTTGATCAGTTTTAGTATATGTGCATGCCGTGCGGAATCCCTTTATATAGTCATTTTTCACAAGTTACTGTAAAACAGATGGATTTGTGAATAACAGTGAAATTCAAAACATGCCTGAGATGCATACATACCAACAAAGACTGATCAAAATTGAGTCAACATTATCAACGAGATAATTTAAATGTTCCTAAACGATGACTGAAATAAAATATCTGTTGCACAAGTGGGTGGGACTTAGGTAGCCCATTGAAGTAAAAGGTACTAGGTTCGAGTCCCAATGTGAACTTCAGTAACGAGGTGCAGGTAAATCCAGTTATCGAGTCTCGACTAGGACGAAATGCGTACTGGATTTTACAGTTAGCCAAAATTCTGTCTATTTTAAATAATAAACCGGTTAGTTATGATGAACTTTCACTCTTTGGCTACAGCTTAGGATCAACCATATTTTAATGGATTTCTGTTCTGTGAGCTGAATTATTTGGTCGTGGAGCACTCAGGTCAATCAGCAATCTACGAGCACATTGAAATCAATCTAATTCATCAACCAATCAGGAAAATCATGGACAAAAATGGGACCAAAAATCAAACCCATGGGAGATAAAATAAAAACAATGTAAACAATGACAGGCTTAAAGTTAACAAAAACCAATCAACATTGAAGTCTACAGGATAAGCTGTGAACTATATGTGAAGAAATTTGAACACTTTACTTCTACTTGATGATGTTCAGAAGAAAGCTCCAAGACCAAACCATTCAGCTCAGAGAACAAAGCTCTATCATAATAATCCACCTGAGCCACAAATCTTCTCCACCATTTCATTATCAACCATAACTGGCGCCTTTTCATGTTAAATAGAGTAAAGGATTTTCATTGGTGAATTCCACAATGACTGATCCCCATCTATTTTTGATTTGAACATGCTACTTTTTTATTGTCATGCTAATATCCTTATCTTTTCTGACTACCCTACTGTCCAATGATTTTTGTCTTAAATCATGCACCTAATTCACTGGTCCAACTAAATTGAATATTCTGCTTCATCTAGAAACAGGATTAACAACATTCATAGACATGTTCTTTCTAGATGACAATTTCAAACATGTTCTTGAATATTGACAGACCAAATAATCAGTTTATTTTCAAGATAAATTTCAGTTAGTGAATATTTTAATTATTACACCATGGAAAACCTGGAAGCAGTGGACGGCCGTCTCATCCTGGTATGGAACTCCTCAGCAGTGCGCATCCACAATCCCACACCCCGTGGGACTCGAACCCAGGACCTAATGGTTTCGCTCGCGAGCACTGAACCACTGAGCCGGCATCCAACGGTGTTAATGTCTAACTTCAACCAATCCACGAAGTTGCGCGACCGTACACCATTATCTTCAGTAAGTTCCTATCTCACAACAGATCTGGTTGAACTCCACTTGTAACGGCTTCTCACTAGAACTCCAGGAGTGTCTCTTAAAGTCAGTCACTAGTGAGCAGGTGACTATTATTATCAGAACGGGTTTTGTGGATATTTCCAGTGCTTCCAGGTTTTCCATGGTGATCTAGCTTCAATTGACTCATGATTTCAACCAGTGAAATTTCTAAAAATCTCCACAAAACCCATTCTGGTTTTAATTATTAACCTACCTATACACTATTACTAAAATACAGTTTATTATTCAATAGAATTTCATAACTTAGAAATAATCAAACGTTTTATGTTCATTAATTCTTTATTCATCAAATATCATTAATATGTAACTAAATTCCTATTTTTCTATTATTATTATTATTATGAAGGTATTGTTGATACTGGCCTATTTATCAATATGACAAGTAGAATTTATATTGGTAATTTAAATGGTACAGTAACAAAATTAGAAGGGAAATCATCTAACCAACATACGTTAAACAATATCAGTAATTTCTAATTCATTATATATCTACCTACCTACTTATCTACTATTGATATACTTATCCTATTTTGTTCTACTTTCACTCAGGGTTTAAATTAATTATCGTTATTATTTTTGTTTTTGTATTGTTTTGTTGTTCTTTTTTTCATAAATGCAAAGAAAAGTACTATCGTTGTATATTTTCATTGTTATTCCACTTATAATATCTAGTTGGATAGTAATATCGACAAGAAACACTGATTGACTTAGGTCTCATGTTAGTTGACATTTAACAGACATGACGTACTTGTTATCTTAAAGTTAAAGTTTCAGATCTGCATCATCCAGTTTAATTGTTTGAGATGTTACCATTGATCTATTCAAGTCAAGATTTATCAAGTTCACCGGAGAAAAAATAAATAAAACAACATGGAAATGTTTAAAGTATATTGGTAAATATACAATGATTCAAGATAATATGTTCATTACTTCTAAAATATTAAAGATTATTGATAGCATTGAGATCTCTAATTCATGAATACTGTCATTCATAATCTATTGATGATTAAGTTTAGGAATCTTAGAGTTTTGTTCAATTTTCAATTAGCAATTCAAACTCAATTCATCAATCTTATTGAATAAGAAAAAGAGAATTCAGCGAGGAAAATTTTCTTTTCGACGTAATCATTTACTTAAACTGTACATTTGTATATATGTAGCTATATGGAAAATGTATGTCTATAGGAAGATAGAAATAATTGCATCACAGAAATGGATTTGAGAATAAATAACAAATGAGGTTACGTGTGCTAAATCAAGGGGTAAGGAAGAAAATCGTTTATGGATCAGATAATAGGTCCAATTGACAAATATAAAGAAAAAAACAACAAACATAATTGGCATAATAATAATAAATTGAATAATAATCAAGCAAACTTCAATGAGGTAATAATAATAATAACTGATTAGAGATTAAAATAGTAAAATAATGATTTTAAAAGAATCAATAATGATCAAATAAAAGTGAGGAAGAAAGGAGAAAAACCCGAAACATAACGATAAAGGAAATTAGGGCGAAAGAAGGATGAGAGGTTGGACGAATTGTTTCTGATATTTTACAACCCGTTAAAAACCATATCAATACATGCAACTCTCTTGATTCCTTTTTCGACTCAACTAGAAATATCAATATAAATGGTAGGAGAATAATCTCATTGGATTTCACTTCTCTTTTTACAAATGTTCCTCTCACAGAAACTATGTTTTTTATGTGACTATTGAAAACAATAACCATCATGTGTAACCCAAAACATTATCTAAAAGAGTTACTTCTACGATGTACTGTCAACGTGCAATTTAGATTTAATGATGATTTCTATGGACAAACAGATGGAGTTGCGTCCCCACTTGGCTGATTGTTTCATGACCAACCTAGAAAATTCCGTACTTCGACCAATAATTGAAAGATTCCATTTATATAAGAGATAAATGTCTGGTACTTTTATTATTTGTGGAGAAGATATGGATCTCAATGAAATTTTGATTAGTTTCAATAATTGTCACCCCTCAATTCAATTCACCTTAGAGGTAGACGAGGAATTTCATTTTCTTGATGTTCGATTGGAAATAAGACTGGATGGTTTTTACAGGGGTATATATATATAGGAAGCCAATCTGGAATTGGCAGTGCACGAATTTCCATAGCTAGGTCCAACCGAGTAGGAACAGGAACTTAATTCACTCTTTATTTTCAAGGATCAGGCGAATATGTTCTACCTCGACACGCTATGTTTACTGATGTAGGAGGTGTTGTAGCCTGTGAGACTGCAGGTTGTGGAGCAGCGTACTTATCGATCGCTTCTGTGACACGTAATGAACAACCTAGAGTCCCGATTGGCCCTGCTTCGCTGTCTATCCCAGCCAGTTGAGTCCAGAAAGCAAGTCACAGCCTTTGAGGTATGAACCATTATATTTCAAACACTCTGTTTATATACTAACCAAGCAAACCACATCGTACCATAAAAATAGAAAACAACATTTACACAATATTAAACAAGTGAAGCAAATATCGACCAATAGGGAATGTACATTTACCGTTCAAAGACAACATTAGACTTAACATGATAACTATTGGTATATTTTTCTGCACATCCTAACAGGTTAAAAGCTAGAGAGACTGCTTCATCCTAATTCTAAAAGAAATACAAACCCACATGGTGAGGATTTCTCTATGGGATGAAGTCAGTTCATAATAATGATTATTCTCCAATTAGCCTGTTTGAATTCTTATGAAGTCGGTCTTAAATAAGAGATGCCATTGATTTCTGTTAAATTCTTGTCATCAAAACTTGTATGGTTTGTTTGTGAATTGTTAAGAAACTTATTGGAATTAATAGTCAATACTAATTTTAACTACAAGTCAACGTTAAAAAACTGACATTACATTGTATCGAGAAAAACATATCAAATAACTAAGTTATTTATTAGTAATAAAACTATTTGAAATAGGTATGGCTGTCAGTTTGGTTCACTCCTCCAGACCATGATTACATTTAAAAAGAAAGAGATTGTAGTAGTGTCATGATGGACCATGTGATCAATTAAGTCTTACTGCATTATTGCCAACTGGCTGATTGGAGTTCCATTTTCGATGGAATTCTATCTGATGTGTATGCTTAAAATTGGGACGACCAAACCCTGTGTTGGGATTCGTGTTTAGCCGGAGGGCACTTTGTGTATTAGGTGGGGTACGTAGACTAACGTGGATGGGGAGAGTCAAGAAAGAAAACGAAAGGAAATGTGGGCACGATGATCCAGCAGGCGCACAAATGCACTTACATTTAATAACAAAAGACAATCTAGAAACAGAAATTACATTCAGATAGTGTGAAGTTTCCAATGCACCACACTCTGGTACAAATAAATTAGTAGTACATGTTAGAAAATGTCAATATGATTCATATAATCAATTATCTAAGAAGCTTCTTGAAGTTTGTCTAATAACCATTGGACATACATTGAAAACGGTTAGAAAGTGAACACCATGATAATCCGCTTAATTCAAGTTATCATACTCATTTTCATTATGTTCCTTACTTTTTTCCAAATCACCTTATCCAGACTGTACAGTATAGAAAGTAATATTATCTGCTTTTATGAACGTTTGTTTCCTTAGTTATTTATATACATGTTTTCATCTCAATTCTCATTGTCATTCTATCACCATTCAGAATAAATCTTGTTCACAATGAGCCTATACTAAATAATATCGGAAAAGAATCGTTTATACCTTTTGTTTTTAATTTTTTTAGTTTTCTCATACTGTAGCTCGTTTTCTAACCATAAAGAAGAAAATAATGATGAAAGAGTTTAACGATATGTTAATTTTCCAATAGATTTATTATTAGACTAATCAATAGTGTTAGGGAAAAGAATTTATTGTTTCATATATTACCAACTATCAATTATGAACTTCCTATTTTGATTGAGAATGAGTAGTAGAACTTACATTTTCTATCAAAATGTACACTAGAGGTAATAGCCTACATCATCGGATGATAAATCAAGCAGTTTCATTGAACCAATCATACATATCTACGTCTCTTCATAGATAACTAATAAAGTATGTACATAACGAGAATACAATTTTGGAAAGTATGATATATTCAATAAAACATATTTTGCACATATAGTCTTGTTGTTGTGATTGTTTTTTTATTTGTAAATTACTGGGGATTTATTCATTTGATGAAATAATAAACATATAAGAATTTTCTAGTTAATTATATTAATCTAGGTGAATAATATAGATGACGTTGTGCTGAACATTGAAAAACTAATTTATCTAATACAGATATAATTTGTAAAAGACAAATTTGATTACGTTCATTCAATGTTAATTCTGTCATCAATTGATTGTCAATTTGATTATTTTCTGAATATGATTCTATAGAGATAAAACAAAATATATGATAATGAATTATATTACTAGACTAGTAATATAACTAAATTGTAAATTGAATGAATAAGGATATAGGATATTTATATCAAGATAGGCAATGAATCTTTATCAGTCATGATATGTGTTACTGGTGCTTAGCTACAATCTTCTTCAATTGACAACGTATACTGATGTAAAAGTGGGAGACCTAAACTACGATTTAGTATCATGTGATGTTTGTGTATAATCGTTCCGTGGTATATTATTCTGTGCCTGATTCGAACTCCAAATATACTTACAAGTGGCTTCACTGATTTCTCTTTAGATTGGATAATCCTAGGAATTACTGGTTAGCATATAAATTTGACTGCTACATTACTTATCATACATCAGTTTATGAAGTCGTTGATATAAACCATGTTAGTAAATCGAGACTACCACCTGATTAGTGTGAGCGTGTTAAACAATACGAGTGATTGGAGATGTTCAATAATATAGCTCGGAATTAATTTACAGTGGCGTAAGTGTATTCACTTTTTGTCTCGAAATACTTATATATATATTTTATTGTACTAATTCATTATTTTTACTCAAATCATATTGTTTATGCTTAAAGTCTTGTACTACTACTACTACAGTTAATATTTCTACTACTCTGAAATTTACATTCACGATTTATTTCGCTGTGTTGATATAAAATAAGTGCTTCCAGGTTTCCAAAGGTGGTTTAACATCAATCCGTTCATGATCTCAATCAAAAACGTAATAATCTCCACAACCCCTATACTAGTAATCAACATGTGCTCACTAGTGACTAGCTACGTGAGGGAATCCTCGGAGTTCTATTGAGAAGCCGTGATCAGTGGAGCTAATCCATGTCGGGTAGAGACAGGTACCTACCTCAGTACAATGGAAGTTGGTCGCGCAATTACGTGGATTGGTTGATATTAGACACTATCATCATTGGATGCCGGCTCAGTGGTCCAGTAGGTTAAGCGTTCGCGCGCAAGACCGAAGACCCTGGGTTCGAATCCCGCGAGTGGGACCGTGGGTGCGCACTGCTGAGGAGTCCCACAATAGGACGAAACGGCCGTCCAGTGCTTCCAGGTTTGCAAAGGTGGTGGTCTAACATCAATCGGTTCATGATCTCAATAAAAAATATAAGAAGAACTGGAACTGATCTCAAGTTCTATTTCACTGATGATAGGATTTCAATTTTTCAACTTATTAATCACTAACCCACGAAAAATGTACGGCACAAAATTGAGCACACGAACTTAAAAAAAAATTACAGAATTGTAATAGTAATTACATTAGGCATATTATCAACTTTAAATCTAAAAGAAATAGGAAATCGATAGTTGCCAAGTTACAATTGAGAAAGATCTACAAAAAGAGGATGAATTAATTATTTGTACTTTAGATTGGGATGACTTAAGAAAAGTCAAATATAAAAAGAATAAATTTCGACTATTGAACAAAGCAATTATGAATCTAAATTAAAAATTAAAGTCTAAACGTTTTGTATGATGCCCATGGATATTACTACAACAACTACTGTTAAACCAGTTGAATAAAACAAAAACTAGCGAATAAATGAGTTGTAAATTTGGTGTTTCAACCAAACAAAGGGAAACAAAAGAATCATACAAATGAATATAGATATATTTGATCACAACTTGTGAAGTATATATTCCAAGGGAATTTTAGCCAAGTTTCCCCATTTCACAGTTGTTATTAATGTTAAGGTCTCCAACCTATTAGTTTGTACTAGCATGTGTACATTTCCAATGAATTGCCTCCATACTACCACTTGGTCGCGAGTGTTTATCAGCATTTATTCGAGTCCCATCTGAACATAGACACTGGGTACATCCAGATAGGATAAAACCTATGTCCTAGATTGCTGTGCTAGCCACCATTTAGCGTTATCCGAGACCCTCTCGATCCCTAGATGTATACCTTCAATATTGCATATCCTCTCTCAAACTTAAGTTCCGTGTGTGTTACGACCGATCATAATAATTTTATGTGCAACTATCTCCACTCCTATTCCGTACAACAGTAGAAATATTCTGCTGATATTATTGATGATACAGGAAGTGAAATGGAGGTCAAGGTCACATATTGATACACATACACACACACACTACATTCAAAGTCTCAATTATACATTAGACACTCGAAAGTTATGCAAAACAAATAGACAACAACAAAATAGTTTTATTTCATATTATGATTAAACGACATTCCTTTAAAAATAAATAATAAATTAGCACAATATTGACCGAAATATATCAACTTATTATCATTTATTCATTCCATTGGTGTTTACTTGTTCAATTTCAATTGTTGTCCTTTTTAAATAAACTAAATCTTGAACGTCGTATAATGAATGATTTATTCGTTGTATTGGAGTTTCTAATCACTAGGTACATATAAATAGTTAAAGTACGGCCAAGCACAAAGCTCTGGTAAATTCTCAGATTATGGACAGCATGACAAGATGAATAATAAAAGAATCTCAGTTATGGAGATAAGAGAGGTATTAGGAGGTGTAGGAAGGATTTGAATGTGACCGACTTGGTCTCGTGCGCTGTTACGGGTATGAGGGCTGATATCACTTCCCGGCTGCCCACACCGTGGAAGGGTATTTCTTGAGGAATTTGAAAAAGAAGTCGGATTAGTGTTGGTCTTAACGACCAGGGAGCGTGACCGCAGAGCCCAAGGGACAACTGCTTGAGGCCTGTCGCGCACGACCTTTTCGTGGAAGGTTTTTAATGTGTTAGCTCCGTTCTTCAAAGGGCCTTGCACCGGAGACGGAGATCTGTGAGGTAAGGTGAGGTGTGACATTTTTAGGGTCAACCTTTTCTAACTCCACCCCTCCTTGTGGGAAGGCAGCATCGCTGTCATGCTGGTTGTCCGAGAGAAACACCTTACTGCTGTCACACCCCTCTACAGTCAGCAGTACGACTTCGCCCTCAGACCTTGAGTTGCTGCTTTTAGTCTTACCGTTCTCCAATCGACCTGCCTGGCATGGTAGAACCTACAGGAACATATGTTCCAGTCAATATAGCTCGGTTGGGTCATCACTATATGCAAGCCCGACCACCGCGTCAAGGTAGTAGCTTCGGTCGGGAATAAAAGAACCTAAATAATGTTGTACCAATGATCATAGGGAAGACTGAAACATTGAAGATATGGTCCGGAACAACAGAATGGGAAGATATGTATTTTAAAAAAAACAATGGGACTTAAGATTTAGGGTAAAACAAAGGGTGGATGCATCTGCACTACTATGATAGATTTTAAGCCATGCCAACCAACGTCTACAATCATTGACAGTGGTCATCGCGATATCCACCGAGCCAGCAAAGTTTAAATAAGATAAGATGGTTCAGACAAACAGTCAACGGAGTAGTGTTATATTTTGTTTCGGTCACCGCTAACTTCCTTGCAAATTATTTCTACACCAACTAATATCGCTCGTCAGAGTAAGTGAAAGTTAAGGAGAAGTTCTAGTTAATACTCATGAGTAAGTTATATCTGTAATCTTAATCGATATTTATTCAATCTGTCATAGGGACTAAACAACATTACATCGGTAGGATATATATACTACTGAATCATATTACAATCGATATCACAAGTTATAAGCAGTCACAAACAAATTAACAAAATGATTACAATAACTGTAATACGCATATACCCAAGTATACAAGTTTAAATACAGTGATAAGCAATACATGAAACACGTGAATTATACTCATTTTATGAGAAAAATATAAAGAATACAAGGTAGAAACAATCGATAAGGTTAAAGTGAATTTCTATTACAAAACAATCCTCAACATGGCAATGTACAGCTACTTTGTTGAATGAAATCATGATCTGTCTATTCAAAAAGACAATCATGACACACGAACAGTAAGAAAAAAACTGACAGTTTTATGGATTTGATAATCAATCTATAGGATTTTATATTTTACACATCACAGACTAAAATTAGTTAATTCAACAAGCCAGTGAAAATTAGAAAGACTTAGATACAGATATTTTATTCTAGTATGGAATTATTATTAATCTTCCACAGTGCACATCCAAGAACCCAGTGAGAATCGAACCTAGGGGTTTTAGGTCTCACGGCAAACGTCTAAACCTATGGACCACTCACTACTATTGAGTCGATCAGCAAATAATAGTTTACATTTGACCTATGAAATTCAACAATCGAAATACAGAAGCAGTAGCTTATATCAGTTTTAGCTATTGAACTGAGTAATCACAAATTCAAAATCTTTAAATAATCCACCAATTATTATGTAACCAAATATGGGAGTGCTTATGGCAAACATGTTAGTTGTTGTAGAATTACAAGCTGGGTGACACGGGATCGAATCCGTCCCTCAAGATTACAAGTACACCTTGCTGACGAGTGCCAAGTAGCACGAAACCTGGGTTCAGGGTTTCCTGTTGACTACCTCCAACCACCATCTTAATTACAAATATAAACAATTTGGATACAAGATATTAGAATTTGGAACACTGATAAAATTAACTAAAAACCATTACATTGGACTAAAATTACAAGAAAGAAATTAATGTAAATCTATTCAATTGAACTCAAAACTGCACTTACTTGCTCTTAAAGTTTCCAATTGACAAAGCATATATGATCGTGAATCATCTGACAGTGTAGAACTAATCATTAGACCAACTGATAATAGAAGACGTGCAATTATAGGCGCTAAATTTGGGAATGCACTACCCAAACGTAATAATGAAGACAAACATTCATATAATAAACTTGATCGTTCCTCTACACTGACTACCACTAGTATTTTACGGTTTATTGTGGTACAAAGTAAAGAAATAAAATTTAAAAGAAATAATTATTATTTTATCACATGATATTTATAACATTTCAATAAAATAAACAATGCAATGGTGATTACTTAATTCATTCGTATTGGCTGTTTGAATCTTCTCATTAACGTTCAGAACTGCAACTGATCAACCTCTTTTGGCATGATCAATCCAAATGAATTAAAATTCAAATCGTCGTGCAAGACAGTGGCTACCTAGACTCAGAAGTTAAGTGAGTAACGTGATAGCGTTTGAAGGGTATGGTACTGGGTTTGAGTCCTAGGGAGAGTGTCAACTCTGAGATGCAGGTAGGTCCAACTGAAGATTTCCACTCAGAACGAAACCCACATCCTGGATTCCAGTACTAGCTGACATCCGACTCTGTTTATAACGATTCATTGATATTTTCGATTGTTATTTATTTAGTGATCGATTGTCAATGAATGTAACATATTGATGGTTATTAGTTGGTAACTTCGAATCAACGATTGGTCAGCATCCTCACAGTGTACATCCTAGACTGATTTCATTTAGACATTACTTGAAAACCAGGAAGTACTAGGGAGTTGTTTCAACATAATATAGGACTTCTTAGGAGTGTGTATTGACGACAGCACCTAAGATTTTCAGGTCATTCAATGAGTGATTAATCTTCAAACCACTGAGCCAACGTCCAATAGTTAACATATCTAACGGTAACCAATTTGCAATAGTGCTCGCTGATTTTCTATGGTTTTTTTTTACTAAGATTAGCCCATGATGTAAACTATGAAATCCAAAAACCTCCACAAGTTCACCATACTAATAATATTCAGTATTCCATTCACCGTTTTAACAAACAAAATATACTCATATACAATCCAAAACATTCAATCTATTTTATAAATTTAATTTGTAACAGTAAAATCCACTATACAATATAATAAATAAAACCTCACATTACACAAAACTGTAATCAATTCATTTGATCACAAATTTAGTGGAACAAATAATTAGAATGATATAAAAATAAGCATGAATGAGGGATAAATAATTATAAAATAGTAAGCAGCTTGACAAAATATAGAAAAGACTATTATTTATATTCAAGTCATGAACCGATGATCTAAGTTAGACCAATATGGATCAGTTAATGATTTCAATGAAACTCAACAATTCACAATTCTATAGTTACATATATCATTATACTTGAACATGAAGAATTACATCATCATCTAGCATCTTTAAGTTTAAACTTCTTCCTTCTATTTAGTTCAACAATCAGTAACTCGATGAAGTGATAAATAAAAATAAAATATTTGTAATATCCCAATGAATAGAAAAATCAAATTTTCTGACATTTTGAGACTCAATGTAAGCCATTTGTTTCAGAGTAAAAATAACCAGATTAAATTAATCCAAGTTTAAATAGTACAAATGAACAAAGCAAGAATATTAAGTGTGATCAAACAAAAATATGTCTGACCATGTTAATGTTATGTCATTCCGGGTCAAGGTGATTTATATGAGACATGTTTGTATTCGTGTGTGTGTGTGTGTACGTATGGTAAGGGGTGAAAAGATGTGATCTTTGTGGTGCGAAAGGATAGAATTTAATTTGTATGTACTATAATAGTGTGAAATGTGAATAGAATCAGACATAATGGCTTAGATAGATGGCCCAAGTCGGACGGATAATGAGACCTTCTTTCCTATTGAGGGCACTAGGATTAAGCAATATAAGAAAAGCTTCAGCTACTCACCTTTATTTATAATTGGAAAAGGCTTTTTATATTATTTTGATGTTTTTGATATCGATTTAATGGTTGTTGAAAATGATACGAACTGCTATTGACGATTTAATTTGGAGTCTTTCCAGTTCTACAAGATTATTAGGTGATTTCTTTGTGTACCTAAAATGTTCTTTGGTTCGAGATGACTATCCAATATACAAGGCATCATAATCTATATATTCTAATTTGTAGACACAATTCTGTCTTAACATAAATGAGAATTCATTTTATTAATTTATTGCGAAGGATATTCGTTGTTTTGGAACACACTTTAATTTTCTATTGTGTTACATAACCTTTGTCATTCTAATGTTTAATTATTATTATTATCAGTCAGTTAAATGTAACAAACTATCAGATTAAGTTATAAGTAAATAATATATTTGTAATATCCCAATGAGTAGAAAAAGTAGACTTTCTGACGTTTCGTGATTTAGTGTAAGTCACTTCTTCAGAGAGTAAATAACCAAAACGTGAATTAATTGGGTTATTTGCTCTCTGACTTACACTTAGTCACGAAACGTCAGAAAATCTCATTTTTCTACTCATTGGGATATTACAAAATTTATTATTTATTTATAACAATCTACCCGATGCTCAGTTTATTGGAAGTTATCAAATCAAACCTTGATAATGATACCTAACAGATTAAGTGTCTTGTGATCATTTATCATTGGATCATTATCGTTATCAATCAATCAACCAAATGGTCATTGTTCTACTGATTATTTCAATAGTTCAATAATAATTTCATAACAATTTGAAACGGTTAATTGTAACAATTATTACTGTCAGAGATAAGGTTAGTATACAATTTTAATAATTTCAAGATGTTAAGATGGGATTAGCACATATGATCAAATTTTAATTCCATGTGATTTTCTGTCCAGTATTACATTTGTTTTTAATTAAACGTATCACTTGATCAGTATAATATTATTTTATATTAATTTTATGCTGCTTTCGTTCATTATAATAAGTAGTATGACTTTTATATTTATGCGTACTTGTGTATTTCTTCTGCTTTGGTTAACCAAGCCTTCAAATGCCCTGGTACGTTCGAGAGTGGGGAGAGTCCGCCTTCCCTTTCGATATGCTCTCACATGGCCACGCCTATATAGTATCTGCCAGGGAATTCCTACTCACTGCCTTCTCGTGGCGGGGGTGTTGTTTACGAAATTGAGAAGATGAAAAGCGAATGTCCTACTCTTTAACCAGGTTGGTGGACACGGAGGGCCCACCTAGAGGAGTTTGGAAACCTTGATTCCAAACCAATGGTGCACATAGGTTCCATGATCCTGAGGGAACAAACATCGTATGCACTTAGTGTTGGTCACCGACTACTATGGGACGGCATCTCCTAACGTTGCCCCAATGCCTTGTGAATCAGACCTTCAGGTCGAAGGCTCGGGGTGTGGCCTCTTAAGAAAACCACCTGCTTCGGTTTGGGCACCAAGGCAGTATCACAGCCCTCACACAAATCGAATGATTTATGTATCGCATATGTATTTGGTGCCTTCTTGTACCAATGTTTACGTGTCTAAATAAATAAATAGATAAATGAAATCCATTGATTAACTCATTAAATATCAATCAAGTCTGTATTTGAATTAGAGCATTTAACTAAGAAGTTGTTGTATGTTTGAGGAGGTCAATAAAATCTTTATCTCCTACCAGTTTTTTGTTTTCTCCCTTACGTCGAACAAATATCTCTACAACTCTACACTAATAATGTGCTTAGTGGTGAATCGCTAAGAGAGAAAATTTTAAAAGTTCTAATGAGAAGCCGCAATCCATAGATCTAAATCGTGTCAGGTATGAAGAAAATATACACTGCAGAAAATGGAAGTGAGTCATGAACTATCGTGAACTGATTTAAGTTAGACTTGGACATCATTGGATCCCCAGGCTCTAGAGATTAAGTGTTAACGTGCGAAACCGAAGGTCCTGTATTTCGACTCCTACTTTGAAAGGTCGTATGTGAATATTGTTGAGGAGTCCCACACTAGGACAATATAGTCATCTAGTGCTTCCGATGATCGTTAAACTTAGATCGATTCCCATATTTCAATGTTCTCCTATTTCAAGTAGTAATTTCTCGTGTTTATGCGAAGAAAAATGTAAATTACTGAATAAATTGAGTTTTGTATGTAAGTTAACTTAATTTGTCAGTTAATTCACACAAAAACAAGGAAAGCAACAAAAAAGAACATTTGGATCAAAAAAAGCCGAAATAATAAACACTAATGGACAAATGCAAAGAGAACAACAACAACAACAACACAATAATCCAAAACAACACAAATGAAGTCACATAGTGAAATAATTTACATTAAATTAATAAATGAAAACTTGGAATTTGTATTTAAACCATGGTAATCGACCGATTATTGAGACAAATTAAATTCATTCAAGATTCCTAATTACAATGTACAAACTAGAAATAAATTTTTTTGAAGTTAGCAAAACAACAACAAGAAGAAAAAGAGAAAGAAAACGAAACCAAAAACGATATATTTACATTCTATTCTACTATTATCCATAGAGATGTAACACACTAAAGATGTTGTAACATGAGACTGATATTATAAATCAGAATAGATATGGATTTTATTTTTGGCTATAAGATATCATCACAATATATACAGATAGAAACATATATGGATCACAAATGTGAAGCGATTTAATGAATACAATAGCTGAATAGTGTAACTAATATGAGCTCAGTTAGGTGAATTATATTTGCCTATTACCTACTACTCTAAAAGTACCCAATATAAATCAATGACTTCTATATTATTTATGACTAACAGATTGTTAACATCAGCTCTAGCCTGTGACATACAATTTGATAGAGGATTTAAATTAGCTCATTGTTAATGCGTTTTTCAATATGAACATATTTTTACTAAAATTGTAATCGCATGTATTGATTATATTATATATTTATATTTTTTTTAGTTTTCGTCATGAACTGGCCTTCGTTAGACTAGCACCATAGAGAATAAGGGAGAATTGGAGAGCTATTTCTCAATATAGTGTGGTGTTCTTTATTAATGTGTATTCATGATTCTACTGAGCATAGAACCCAGGAACTTTAGGTCTCCCAGCAACTGCTCAGCCTTTAGAACACTGAATTGACATCCAATCGTTTACATTACTAACTTTAATCAGCTCGAGATATTGCTCAACCATCTTACAATACCACTAGCGAGTAAGTGCATCACATCCGACAAGGTTGAACTCCACTAGTCATGATTTCTCACAAGAACTTAGGTAATTGAGTCTCTAAATTAGTCACAAACAGGTAAACATTATGGAAGCACACTGCGCCATACTAAAATGAAATAGTTATATTGAGTGCTTTTTGGTTCTCAACGATTGTCTCAACTGTCCCAGCAAATCCCTCCATACCTAATAATAGTCTTTTCATAATTAAACCTATCACATTCTACAGATACATAACAATAGATCATAATAGAAGTACTTATATATTATGATTCTAACATTTAAAATTTTTTATACACTAACCTGTCAAAAAGTGATATAATGAATCAATCATAAAAGCAGCACGATCCAGTGTCGCTTGAATATTATAATGTTGAGCTAGATGTGAAACTAAATCCAAGCAGAATACCTTAGAGAGAAAATTAAAAAAATATCAAAATAATGAATATGAAGAAGAGCACTAGAAAGAGATTATGACAAGGTTATGAATTAAAAAACACCAAATATTTGGATTAAATTGCAGCTTAAGAGACAAGAAATGGTAGATGGCTGCTGCTAGTCACTGAGTTAAGGTTTATTTCTAACTTCTTCAGGCATAATAACTATTGTTACGTGGTTGGAGGTACTCGGCAGGAAGTCCTAGATATAAGTTTCGTGCTAGCTGACAATCGTCACCAAGGCCTACTTCTATTATTGAAGGCATTGATGTTCTTTGTGACAATCGAGTCCGGCTTTACAGTTTGAGACGTTACTACTCAACTGCAAGGAAACGTCATTAATTTCCCTCAATATTGCAAGTAGACCTTGCTGATGAGCGTTAACTAGCACAATACTTTTGTCTAAGGTGTCCTACCGACTACCGCTAACCATGAACTTACATATGAAGATGACGCGTACGATTTCAAGTCACTGATATTCGATCAATAAAGTTCGATTAGCACTAAAGGAACATGATACTGTTAGCTATGTAAATTTACTACTGTTTCAGAACTGCAAATGCAATACAATTGTTTAGCACAGAATAAGAGGAGTAGCATTAGATGATGAGTGGGATTACATTTGAGTTAGAGGAGCGTTCAGAAGTAAGTATGACCATCCATGGGTTGCTTACGACAGTTGAACTACAAAGATACATAATCCAACCAATATAGACTTTTATAACTATCACAATTTAACATCTCTCATACTCTCCTTTCCAGTCTGTATAGAGAATTTTCTTTTCATAGGCTTATATTTAGCAACGATATCGTCATAGATCCACAAGAAATCATTTCACATACTCTTATAGTCCCAAGTTCTCATTATACAACAATATAATATCCTATCTGATCTAATCAATATATCTTATTAAATCTCCCTTATCGGTTGTAAGTACCTAAAGAGAATACATGATGATATACATTTATGTTATTCTACTTCTAAATTTTTATATCATTGTCCTATTTCATATCTCTTATTGTTTCCATTAAATTCATTTCTAATTATTTGTAATTCATAATTTAAAACAAAACAAAACAATTTTATCATATGAGTTTAGGTATGATTGGGTTCATGAAATCTACCATCATCACTATTTAAAAATTTCATCTAAAGTACAAATATGTGATGACATAATCATTCATTAATTCAGACACGTCTAGGGCAAAAGGTTAAGCATAAACAAAATAGATTATTAGAATGTATGCAATGGTTGAATTTGTCACACTATAATTAACACAGAGAGATGGAATCATAAAAACATCGTAGAATAAAAATAACTTTTTTACTTATTCTACTTTACTGTTACCATATTTAATATAATTTTATTATGACTATCTTGCCCCCGAATGCCCTGGTACGGCAGAGGGTGGGAAGAGTCCGCTCTACCTCTCGAAATACTCTCATATGGCCACGTGGATACAACCAACGCCTTCTCGTGGCGGGCGTGTTATTTACGAGATTGAAGGAACGAAAAGCGAATGTCCGCTCCTTAGACAGGGTTGGTGGATGCGGAGAGTACACCTAAGGGGGTTGGAAACCCCTGATTCCAAACCAATGGTGCAAATGGGTTTTAGGATCCCGAAGGAAAAAATGCCAGTGATTGAGATCATGAACCGATTGATGCTAGACCGCTGTTGGAAACCTGAAAGCACTTGATGGCCGTTTCGTCCTATTGTGGGACTCCTCAGCAGTGCGCGTCCAAGATCCCGCTCTCGGGATTCGAACCCACGGCCTTCAGTCTCGCGCGCGAACGCTACAACCCCTGACCACATTTAGTGCGCAGACTTCAAACACAATATTTTGTACGTGTTGACAGAACTCAGTCAAACTTTATGGACTAATCCTATATCTTGATTTGGTCGCTTCTAGGACGACAAATATCAAGACATTTAAAACAGTAAAGTGAAGAAATTTTGTTACGACGATTTCATTCTGTAAACGGTATATATAACAGAATATTGTACATAAGTTTCCTTTACGGATCTTTTATACAATGTTGAGTTATCACTGGTCATGAAAGATCAGAAATATTAATAAAAGCACATGAAACATTAAAACCAGTATTCTTATTAAAAAATGGGAAACAGAACTATCAGTGAAGCCGGTACCGTTCGAGTCCCAAAGTGACCATCAACTCTGCGATGTAGGTACATCCAGCTGACAAGTCACGAATAGGACGAAACGCGCCTCCTGGATTCCACTGTTAGCCACCATCCACCTTTGCTTAAAAAGCTTTAAGACTGTTATTTCATTTGAGCTTTAAAGATAAACAAGTGACAATTTTAGAAAAACATGACCATTTAAATCAAGCAGAACACCTTATTGAACTTTCAAATATTTACTAGAAAATAACAATGCTAGCAACAGTATACAAATGTGGAAAAAACTTAAAATACCGACTATAAAATTAATCCAGATATATCGAATCAACAAAAAAATAATGTAAACAAACTACACTACTTAGAAATATTATAAGTAGCCACATCAAACTAGCTAAAACATTCACCTTATTTGAACAAAAGATGTTCAACTCAGCCACGAAGTAGATAACTAGTATATCAATCTACCATTCTCATAGAAAGAAAAACCAATGACTTTAAATATTTAATGAGGGAATAAGTTTGTTCCTGATCGATAGAACAAGTCGTTAGTCAACAATAGAGAAATTCCAACAACTCACTTATCTTTCAGGTGTTGATGATGCTGACTAGAAGGACAATGAAAGCTTTGGCTCATCATATGGAAAATGATGTAGTATTTTAATACTTTAAAAAGAGATGATAACCTATTGGATAAACTTACAAACAGCTTCTGTGTTACTTCTTTTTAGGTGATCACAGATTTTTTCAACACACAGTATACAGATGATAATTCTATAAATTGCAGAGTCAATGAAAGTCCTCATCATATATCAACTGTTTAATAAGAATAAAACTTATCAAAACAATACAATAAATGCAGTAAAACTTGAGGTAAACAAGATAGGATATATACATGACTATTATAGATATGCAGGTAAAATAGGTTAATTAAAAGGTGTATAATTAGGTTTAACAAATTAAAACTAACTTGTAGTCATTTTGGGGAAATTTCCATTCAAATATACATGAAATGACTTTAGATCAGACGTCTTAATGCACTGTAGTTTACATCATGAAATGACCTTAATAAGACAATGACTAAAAACCAGGAAGCACTATAGAGCTGTCTTGTAGTAGTATTGAACACCTTAGCAATCCTCATTCCCGACCCTACATGGAGTTGAACCCAGGACCTTCAAGCTTCATATAGATAGCTGAACTTCAAACTATAGAGTCACCAACTAATGGTTTACATTTCTAACTCAAATTAATTGGAAATACTGTGTAACTATCTTTTAATGCCATTAGTGGTTAACCGTCTCGTATGTGAAATGGTTGTTTTCCAGCATACCGAATCTCTGCAGGATTCAGATAAGTAATATTATAAATAACGACGTGTATTAGCATTCTATCCAATGTTCAATTTATTCAAAATCATTATATCAAGCCATGGTAGCGATATCTACAAAGTAATGCAACAGTTTATACTAAACAACTATTGTTGAAATAATATTCAGGAATTTATTTCATCTGATTAAACTAAATTACCCATTAGCTCAGGTTTGTGAATTTAAAATACTTATAAGTGTGCAGCAAGCGATTGAAAAACAATATCTATGGTGAAGCGTATATGACAAGTGTTGTTCGAACTTACCATTGATCTGAATAACTATATATTCGTAGGAACTGGTACTATGTCAAGCCCAGATAAGTTATTCTAGCTTTTGGACAGACCAGAGAGAAAGAGAGAGAAACACTCTTGGTTAAATCGAGTTGGCGGATCACATCCATTCTCCAATCCGTTTCGCTTCACTCTCTCCTCTTCGCTTCATTTCCCTGATTGCCTGTTCATTCTCGTATTTGACTTATTTAATTCCGTTATTCAGTAACACGATTTAAGTCGATGATTAATATACGAAGGTAGCTTGGATGTATAATATCATCATACCACCCTATATATTAAATTTTAGACAATTTTGACAGGCAAAACGAAGACACGTAGTTGAAACAATGTATAATATAATTATATTACCAAGGCCAAGTATGTTTAACCAAGTGAGACTAACACTAATAATACAGATAATCCTTTATCCATTTTGAATTTAATCGAGTGAAATGAAAACAAATTTTATGATTCAATTAATAATTCTTATTTGTTCTTAAAAGTTTAAGAAAAGAAAATCTTCTTTTAAAACAACAACAACAACAACAACAAAAAAGAGACAAAACAAGAGAATTGATATTTCAGTTTATTGGAGAAACAAGAAAGTATCGAAAGAAGAATGTAAGTATTTCTAATCCACCATTACAATTTGACATTTCAATAAAGGTTGAGTTAAATAAATAGTCTTTATTATACATTTATATGTAGTATGATCACATACAAATTATAAATACAATGTATAAACTTAACATGAGATATGTATTGGTTCAAGTTGTTATTACCATACTACATCAGCATAATAAAATAGAATTTTTAAGACCAATGGTATAAGTAATAAAAGTAGTAACATTATATCAATGATAGTAGAAAAGATTTGACATAGACAATAGTGATTCGAGAAAAACAAAACAATAAATTTGGAGTAATAAGAAGTATAAGTATTTTAAGACAAAGAGTGAATATATGTGGGTTGCTATGGATGATTCAGAATCATATTATCCAGTTTGCAATGAGTGATTAGGGTTATGACACAGATATCAACACAGGTTGTTTGAACTTTTCAACGAGGTTCATTCCGACTATCTTGGATTGACTACCCCCTACAACGACAAACATTGTATGTGAAGGTGAGTGACGTTTAGGGATATGTATAACACATGTCTTAAGCACCACCGTTGATGAAGA